CCCCCCCCCCCCTTCACTGCAGTGGTCTAAGGTCCTGTGAGTCAACATGTTCTATACACAGTGTATAGGATGTGAGGATGCCAAGGGACATACCATCGCTGCAGCAGAGGAGACAGGCTTTAGGGACCGGACTAGCAGCCAGCTGGCTTCGAGGTTTGGGTGAGCATAACTTTTTTGTTGTTGTTAGCGCTTAGACAAAAATGAGCACTTAACCCTTTGTAGTGCGGGGGTAGGCCCACTAGGGTTAAAAAAGCAGAAAAAAAGTTCTGCTTTAAACTCTGACGCTCACTTATGTCAGCCACTGCAGCAGACATACAATTATTATTGGAGCATCATATGTGGCAAATCACAAATAAGTGTATTGAAGTGACCATATGCCGTATGTTGTATTTCAGCATGTGAAGCCCCATTCATTGTGGCAAGAACCTAGGAATTCTTCCAGCAGGAATCCCAGATGGGTCCGTAGTCCGTACAGATGTGACTGCTGTACCGGTTCAAGTTAATGACAGGCTGATATCAGCAGTCCACATGTAATCATACATGAACTTAATAATCGGCCAACTAATCGATTATGAAAATAATCGTTAGCTGCAGCCCTACATGGAACCATTACCTGTGGTTGGGGATAGATGATTGTCCCTGGACACATTAGTGCCTGTGTTGTGGTCCAGTGCGTTCTGCAAAAATACTGCAAGCACTGTTTTTGCACAACGCACTGAACCCGGAAAGCAAGCACTAATGTTCCTGCTTTCCCAGAGCGGGCCAGCGCAATGCGGGTGGGGGGCGTGGCTGCGGTGCCATTGACATCAATGCACTGCCACGCCCCTTCCTCCCCCTGAATGCAGGGAGCCGGCCAGCTTGCATTCCAGTGCGTTCCAGAGGCCGAACGCACTGGAACGCAGAGTTTATGGTGTGAACCGGCCCTTAGTGTCAGTCATAGAAATAAGAGGGTTGTTGGCCTTGGCATGATGTGACCTCTCCCCATCATGTGTATCTGTAAATTTTTCCATACACAGAAATTCTGAAACCAATCAAGCTTTCCCGTTCATTCCAGTGTATAGGGGAAGTGGGAGAAATACATTGGTGTCTGTAGCATATGTAACGTGAAACAATAGTGATTTGGGTAAGGTTTTCTATCCTGTCCAATCGCTATCTTCATTGAGAAGTGTTGAGTAGTGGTGTCTGTGGGTACTTATAGACCTTGCAGTATGAGAAGACACATATACCACGGGATATTTTTTTTCAGGGGAGGAGATGGAAATAATCATTCTAATTTTATGCTATTCTAGTAATTAGTGCTGATGTAACATTAAGAGCTCAACTCTTACAAATACTGGTTGCTAACACTGTCATGAGAGAATCATGGAGACTGCCATTGCTGATTATTCCTCCTGAAAATGCATGTTGCTTCAATGCTTCCTGAGTCAATGACTTGGAACAATTCTAGAGAAAGGAATTCTGACGCTTTTTTACAGCATACTTGTTTTGGACCTGTGAAGCCAGATGCAACCAGACAACAAGCATTTTTAGAAAGAAGCCAGCATTAGCTGCTCCTCTATACCTTCCATGACTGAGTCACTTTAGGAGAATCTGTCACCAAAACGTGCTTGGGCATGCTATTTGTTCATTAACTAGAAGTCCCTCAACATCCAGATTAATATGACAATGTAACATTGACTTTGGAAGTTCCAACACTGATCAGTAAAGCCTGGTCTGTCTTCATTGTCCCCTTTTCTTGGGTAAGGGGATGTGAAATAAGGCTATCTTTAGGAGAGTCTGTCTTGCACAAGTTGCTGGACTCATGGCTGTAGAGCTGGAGGACTTTAGCTTGACTGCCAGTGATGTCACCAATCATATACACTCTCAATGTCAATTTATAGCCATACAGCCAGACCTTTACAGAATCCATCCTTGGCAGTGAAAGGCAAAAAACTTTACTGAGGTCTTAGTTGCAAAATTAACATCATACAAAAAAAAAAAGATCATGAAACCCACCGGTGGTTTTGTAGACACAAAGGTCCCCTTTCTCAAGGTGACAGATGAAAAAGAAGACATTTGTGTCCAATAACATCAGTGTTTTTTTAGGTTTGTTTTTGTTTGTATGATGTTAATTTTGCAACTAAGACCTCAGTAAAGCTTTTGGGTTTCTTGGAGGGAGTACACAAAAATATGTAGCCTATCACACTGCAATCCACCGTAATATAGTGCAATATAGCACCATATAGAAACCAGCTCCTCCTACACAGATTTTCAGCTCACCCTAAACTACTCCAACACACACTGATAAATGAGTAAATAAATATGCAGCGCTCGTAACCTTAAATCATAATAGTAATTAGTAGAAAAATAGTTGATCAGACAAATCAATAAATAGTGAACCAAAATGTGACCTGAATAAAGGATTAAATATATATGTATTCCATAACGCACTCAAAAATAAGTGAACAATGTTATATACTCCTTGTTATATTGATAGTGCAAACTTGATATCAAATACAAATTGATAAATAGTAATTCATAGAACTTATATGTATATGAAATATATAAAGTGCAAAAGTAGTTCAATAAATAGTCAATAAAGTGCAAATGTTATATTGCTGTATTGTATAGGTAAAAAGTCCCAAAGTGCTTGATAGTAGTTGTAAAAGATCGCCTCGTGCCACACATTTATCCCCTAAGAGCGCACACTCACCACATAAAGATGGTTGTAAGCTCACAGCCAAAGGGCTCAGTTGTATGTTAGCAGGCTGCCCAGTGCTTTCTTTGTATGTTTCCACAACGATATCCCATAGGAGATGAGGTCCCCGCAATTATAAGAAAAGATAGCCTCTCATTGCATAGTAAATCGAGATAAGTTTATTGAAATAGACTTTAGAAAACTCACATCAATCGTGAGCAACGACCAGCCGGTAAAATCGAGAGACAAACAGCCTGCACTTCCGCACCAGTGTAGCGTATCTGACTGATTATTATGATTTAAGGTTACGAGCGCTGCATATTATTGGACTTAGTGTCTAGGTTGCAGCAGCTTTAAATATTTAATTTTTAATATATATAATTTATTCACTAATTGGATTGGAAGCGCCGATTTGATATTTTACACTAACACACTGATAAATGGGTTACTGGAAACCCACCTTTTTATAGTGAGGAGGCTGGCACAGAACAAAGTCCCCATCATCGGGTCTTTTAAGTCAGTTGACCCAAGTTTAAAGGTCAGGCAGTCCATTATGCTTACAAAGAATTCAATTTGACCAATTTCCACATGAAATAGTTGGGACCGCAAATGTCAAACTCCCTGACCAGCACCAGAAATGAACGCTGACCTGTTTATATGGGAGATATCTGTAGCCACATTAACAAAGGAGTATGACTCCTATGAGTATAATTATTATAACAAGGTAAGGCTCAATCTGAAAATGTTGGTGATGGGCTAGGATGATCCTTCTAGAAAACAGCTGTTTTGACTGGTGGGCTCACAAAACATACGTTTACTGCTCATTTAGTTTTTAGAGAAGTCATTAAACAGATGATTCCATACATTATACTATATCTGCAGGGATGATGAATACAATATGCATCCATTTTATAACCTCAAAACGCCCTAATTGACTGTTTGAGGTATACCTCTAATAAAATGACTTGCCCCATAACCAGATACTCCATATGGTGATTAAACATTCTTTTCCATTAGTAGAGAACTGTATAGACTACAAACATTTTAATGCAATATGTCATTTTTTTCCCCTCTAGACGAATCGGTTGTGAAAACGTGACAACAGTTGGTTCCTGAAGTCAACAATCCATGTTAATCAGTAAGTATGATTTCTGTATTGTTCATAGAGATGCAAAGCTCCAGATATCTCACTGGTCATCCAAGGGTTACACTGGCTGCGGGAATTAAGATGTTGGATCATTTGGTAACTAACTATTCTTTTCTCATTCTCCGTAGCAAAAAAAATAAGATCATTCAACCTCTGTAGCTTTTTATGTATTAGAATAAGGAATGTTACATTGAACAATTGTACATTTTTATTCTTACGGGGCACATGAAATAATGGGCAGGTCATATGTTGGAAAGTTGTATGATGAGGTGTTCTCTCTACCCGTTTGCCATATGGTACATGTGAAATGCAGTACATATGAGCATATCCCTGTAGGTGTAAGTTGCCCCTTGTATATTCCAGCAGATGTGTTGCCTATAACAGCTAGTCAGGGGATTCCTAGTCCTTTTATCACCGACTCTACAAAAGTAACATATTAAAATGTATTTTCACCTTTGTAGTCAAATTGGAGAAACCGCCACAAAATATTTATTTGTTCCCATTCACACAGCAAAGTGCCTAGAGTTTTACTTTAATACAAACAAATAATTGACAACATCACTACAGTTGTCCTTTTAAAGCTAAATTCCAGGCACACAATGAAATACACAGAGGAAATGTATACATGTGAGATGTTTTCTCTGCCGCAGTTCGATTTATATTTCCAGGTCTTCCCCCAGTCCCAATCTCTCCTCCTATCAGCATATTCCTTATTACTATATGAGCACACCACCACACTGCTACCAGTCTGAGTTCTGCTGTGCATTGAACTGCAAGAGGCTGATACTGGGTCAAATTTAGGTAATTTCAATACAAGCATGTAAAAAAAAGTAATAATGATGTATTAATGAATACAGAGCTGCGTGTGTTTTGTGCCCTTTATATCTGCAAACAAAGGGCTGCTTTCAATGGAAAGGAAGAGAAGTAAAATTGTTTTTCAGTACTGTGTTTATATTAAATCCAAAGGTTATTCAACAAAGCCCACTGACCACTTTTTGTGCTGCCTAAGATCCATGCAGGAGAGTTTTTAAAACATTACACTGTGATGTATGCAGGATGAAATCTGTTTGATTAAATTGTTAGTGCAAGAGAATCTGTCAGTTTGCCCATTAAGAGTGCTCCTTCACCGTTCCATTTGTCTGCAAGACACTAGACTAGAAATACCTGGTACTTCCAGGTATAGGAGAGAATATGTGACCTTCTCCGCTTACTCCCAGGATGCAGCACTCATATCTGAGCTGTGGGAAAGAAGAAGGTCAAATAAAAATGGAAT